TCGCGCGCGGCAAAATGCGATCGGAATTGAACGGCTTACTTCTGCACCTTCCAGCCCTTCATGCCGTGGGGGCCAAAGTGCTCCTGCACCATGGGCATATGCTTGTTCAGGTAATAGTCGAGGTCGAAGGTGGCATCGGAGGCCGAGGGATAGAGGATGGTGGTGAAGACGGGCATTGTCGGTGGTGTTGTTGGAACTGATAGCTATGGCAGACTGCTGGAGGCGGGCGTAGGGATTGTGGCTGGCTTAAGATTGGATAGGAGAGGTCGAGTGTCAGAGGCAAGTCGGCGCAGGTTAGAAAGTTTAGGGACGGATCAGAAGATGACGCGTGATTATTAAAGCCGAGAGGTGGGGCGGACAACACAGCGGGGTAGCTCTGCTTTGGCTAGAGAGGATGCGGTTAGGTCATGTAGCAGAAGGTTTTCGCACGAAAATCCGGGTCATAGGCGCGGGTGAGGCTCGACATGACTGGCTTTTTGCTGCTTCCACTGCCACTGTCCCGAACCCTCTTTTCACCAGTAATCCCGATTCCGCTGAGCCTTCCTTTGCCCGTTAATCCCCCCGGAGGTTTTGCACTATTTGCCGCGTAGGTCGCCGTACCTGCATGCCCTATCCTCCGACTAGCCACCTCCTTTTTCCCTCCCCCCAATTGCCCTTGTATATATGCTTCACGAGTCAAAGATGACGTGGAAACTGATCATTGCTCCGACACCGAGTCGTAACTGCTGTATCCGCAGTCCGGTATGCACTGTCAAGGGTAAGGTGATGATTACCAGCAGCTGGAGCCTGGAGCGGGGTTTTGTCATACCATATTGCTTATGACGGCAATCGGACGAGCGTGACATTGGCCGAGTGCTAGGCGACATCGCTCCGGGGAAGCACATCCATGCCCTGATCATCGTCCCCGCATCATTTTACTATTGACAATGTTAGGTGCACATGAAACAAGGGAAATCAAGCGCTGACTCTGTGATACTACATACAATCAATTCCGTCAGTATGAAGGGCCGCTGTACGCATGTACGCATGAACCTGTGTCCCTTGCTCGACCTTTCAATTCGTGTTTTGCCGTAGCAAGATTCATCACTATAAACAAGTCTCTTTGCAACCCGGTTGCTGAAGTCTCATCTATCACATCCACTTCCAAGTCCATAATACCACGTATTCTCAATAACACTCTGCTATCAGTGGATCCGTCAAGGTTACCGCCCCCTTTTTGGAACCGCAGCATCGGTTGCGCCAGAGTACGCCCGGCTGTGCCACTTAGACGTACCCACAAAGGGCTGATGGGGGCTCAAGGCCCACAAAGCTGATGAAATGTCTACCAAAAGTGTCACAGAGGCCCTCGACATGACGATATCCTTCGCTTCAGGTTCCCGAACGCAGCACCATGGTCCGCTGATCGCCTTGTTCCTTCGGGCTTTTGGGAGTCGATCTCGGAGGCTGCTGGATGCCCTAGGTAGAGAGCGCGAAGCACTCCTGCAGGAGTACCCCGATTAGGTCTCCTCATGCGATAAGTACTTGTTGATCGGTCTTGCTCAGTCACTTCCAAGTATTCGAGCATAGGCTTCCTCCGCACTGGTAAGAGCTTTATTGCAAAACCCAATCAATTTGAATTTTAGTTGAGCATCGCTTGAGCACACTGCATCCATTGTGCATCTGAACAATTCTTGAAGGCAGAACAAGTCTCCCAAATTGCGCCTCACATGCCACTCGTTCCGCAAAGATGAGATTAGACGGAAATACTGGTAGCGGCGAGAGTACTTCCCCATAACCTAATGTATAAACACCCCATAAATCCCCACGTCACTGAGACAGCATACATCACTTGACAACCAGATCACCTCTTCGGCTCTATATCAGTCCTAGCTAGTGGTCGACAAAGCAGGATTGCAGTGAACCAAGTCACAGCAACCGCAAACCGCAGCCCAGCGCCCCAAACAAACCACGTCACTGACAGTGACGCAGTCCCAGTTCCAACCTGCCCATCTGCCACAAGCCCCCAACCCGTACTCTGTTTCTCTTCATCTCCAAGCCCACTCACTCCTTCACCGCACCCTCAATCTACCCCACTCCTCCGCGCCCACCAACACGAACGCTGAACCCACCAATGCCATCCACGGTCCATCTGAGCAAATCAGAAACGTTGGGGGCGCTCCGCCCCTTCCACTACTACAACAGTCCCACTCTCGGCCCCGTCCAAAATGCCGCACGGATTGGCAAACGTCGCTATTTGTGAGACAGTCAGGGCGTAGCCGTAGTGACGCCATATAAAAATTGTATCCGTGCGCCAAATTGAGGGGAAGGCTTGTGGTGTAGATCCCGCAAGATCTCCGGCGAACATTTAATATATTGGGTGCGCTCGCACCGCAGGAAATGTCTTGATTGCGATAAGGGGGAGCTGGCTGTGCTGCGCCGCTGATCCTGCTCGTCGGATAGATAGATCGCTTTCTTCCTTCTGTCTCAAAAGCGAAAAGTAGATGGAGACGAGCAAGTCATGTGCTCATGAGGTAGTTAACTAGCAGCAGACAGGCCATCACAAGGTCTCACAGTCACAGATAGCAAGAGGCAAGCAGTTTATCACTGATAAGTCCGCGCATTGCGCTTCAAATTTACAATTCTACATGAAGATTGACAAGAAAAGCCAGAAAGAGCCCAACAACCAGTGGGGCGATCCGTCCGTCTAAGAAGTAAGAACAAGCGTCTTGCATCGTCTAGCGTAACGATTTTCCCTAGTCACATTCACCTCCATACAACCTTTTCCCCCTCAGCAAGCGCCCTGGAAGCACTTAGATGCACTGGGAGTAGAAGTCGTTCTGGACCTCGCACTTGGAGCCCTCCTCGCAGTCAGTGGCGCCGTTGTAGTTCTTGCCACCGCACTGGTGGTACTTCTTGACGGAGCCGGAGCTGGAGCCAGACGCGGCGGGGGAGGCAGCGGCGGCGGAGGTGGGGTCAGCCGCGGGGGTAGCGGCAGGGGTGGAGCCGGTCGTCACGGTCTCGTAGGTGGTGTACTGAGTGGTGGAGTACTCAGTGGCGGTGGAGACGGCACCACCAGCGGCGGCGGCGGGGGTGGTCGCAGCAGCGGCGGGGCTGGAGACAGCCGCGGCCGAGGACTGAGCGACGGGGGTGGCAGCGGGGGTGCTGGACGCCTCGGGGGTGGAGACAGCGGCCGCCTCGACGGCGCCGGAGGAGGAGCTGGACGAGGCACCGTCCCAGACCTTGGGGCCGGGGATGGGGTAGGCCTTCTTGGAGCTGTAGATGTCGAAGACAACACCATCCTCGTCCTGCTTGTAGATACCGGGGATGGAGACACCGGCGGGGAGCTCGGTGGTGCCGGAGGAGGTGACCTCGATCTGGACACACTCGGTGTAGACCTGGATACCGCCGACGTTGGAGGCCTCGTGGAGGGCGAAGATCTCGGGGCGGAGCAGGTACTTGCCAGCGGCAATGTTGGGGATGGTGATGGAGTGCTTGCCCTTGTTCTTGATCAGGGTATCGACGGCCCAGGTGTCGGTGTCGACGTCGTAGCCATCCTCAGCAAGCTTGACCCAGCCGCTGCCAGCAGTGCCCTTCTCGGTGGGGGCAATGTAGGTCATGACGGGACCCTTGTGGGAGGAGGCGATGATGTCGTCACTATCGCTGCGGCTGTCGTGGTGCCACTCGAAGGTGAACTTGTCACCGGACTTGACCTTGAGGGTCTTGGCGGTGGCAACGTTGTTGACGTTGCAGGTCATGTCCTTGGAGGTGACATCCTTGATGGGGTTGTTGTTGGGGGGGCTGCGGATGTAGCCTTCGGCAGTGTTACCAACACCCTGGTCCTTATCGTTGATCCAAGCAGCGAAGACGGTGGTGTGGGCTTGAGCGACCTGCGCAGCAGCAGCCAGAGCGACAATGGCAGAGTACTTCATGGTGATTGATGAAAGAATGTGGTGTCGAAGACGACGGAATGAATGTAAAGACTGAAAGAGTGTTGAGAGAAGGAATGTGGACTTGCCAGCTGTGAGTGATAGTGAGAGTAGAGACGGCGTGCGGGCTCCTTATATGTAGGAGCTGACCATGCCGCTGAAGCACCGCCAAGAGCCTCCTGTCCCCTCTCGCTTGACGCCGTCTCTCACGATGGAGGACATTGCGACAGCAGCGCGCCAAAGTTTCAGTTTGATGTGCTCAAGGGCAAGCCCACTAAAGCGCCGGAGACAGCTCCCCATTCGGCAGGTTAGTCGCTTGCCCGGCCAATCGCTTGCAGCTGAAACGCGGGAGTGCCTGACCACGGCCTCTGCGCCCCGGGTCCCGTTGCGTACTGCGTCTATCCAAACGAAATGACCTTGGGGTACAGACTGCTTACTTTCGAAAGCCCCGACTCGCTCGAGGCGTCCAAGATACGACGGAATCCCAGATGCGCTGGCACAGCAACACGGAGCACCGATCCTCAATTTAGACGTGGACGAAGCGCTCTTCCGCCGCCTTCCAGACGCATCTTCATGCGCACGTAGCCCCTCTTGGGTCTTGCCTTTCGCCTACTATAGATGCTGTCTACGGCCGTTGCGGTCAGGGCTTCTATTATTGTTTCGAGACGCGGAACGCTCACTCGGATCCGTCAGTCCGCGTTTCGGCAGCAGCAAGCCCCTTGCAATGCCGATGAGCGCGGGTTGAAACGAAAGTGGCGGAGGGCACAAACATAGTGGGGAGTAATATACCCGTTCTCCACGGTGCAACTTTAGGGGAGGCTCTGTCTGCTGTCAAGCAAAGTCCAATCGAGGTCTCGGTCGCTCGGCCCCCCGGCAGCCCTGCCCCGGAGAAATTCCACCGCCGACCGATCAGGCCGCTGTGAGCCCCACGTTCCTCCGTCCACCACCCTCGCGTCATTCATGGCCTCCGTAGATCCGTTGCGCCGCCGCCTCGACGCCCTCCTTTCCGCGCGCACATACCCAAAGTCAATATGTCCGTCTGAAGTCGCCCGCGCCCTCACCGCACAAGACCTGGCCTTCCACGGCGCCGCCCACTGGCGCGACTTGATGCCCGACATCCGCGCCCGCCTGTGGCAAATGAGAGTCCGCGGCGAGGTCGACATCCTGCAGCGCGGCGAGCCCATCGCCCGTCACGTTGCCCTTGAAGACATCAAAGGCCCGATCCGAGCACGGCGAGTCAAAGTCGCTGAGGGATCATGAGGCCCCATTCTTGTTGGCAAAGAAAGGGGACACCGCTACATTGATGATCCACGTACCAGAGAGAGATAGGGAGCGAGCTCCAGTCTTCTAGAAGAAACTCCGTTGATGATATTGTATCGCGGAACGCCTGTCAAGCCCTACCAGCGAGATCATTCGATGCCGGTCCAAGACCTCTCGGCACATGGATCATCGTCCTCTTGGCTGACGAACAACACAATATACGAAGCGGCGAAGGCAACATCATTCGATCAACTCACATTCCATCCGGCCTCTGTCAAAGGGGGCCCGGTCATGCCCGCAGCCGCTCTTTCACACCGGATGAGAGATCAGGGCCCATCACACGAACCCGCTTCAGCATCGTTCTCTTCGCAGCTTGTCTAGTACTGTACTATCCAGCGCCACAAAATTCGCCGCTCAACGTCGTGCCCTGCGCTCATGGATTCACTGGGCGATCGAAAAGCGAATCGGGGTTTGTCGGTCCACACTCCAGACAGGTTTGCAAGACAGCTCCGTACCATGATGTCAATTCAGCGCAAAAAATCCAAGCTCCAGTGAATCTGAGATCTAAGTGTTCGAGGTTAGTCTGGCTGGATACCACCGTTGTTCAAGATCTGGTCTTCGGACCCCGGTCGGATCCTGTTTGTTCTCGCTGAGGAGATACATCGTCTCCTCCTTTAGCAGCCCAGCAATTCCTCTTCTTCTCTTTTCATCCATCCCCTGCAGCCAACAACGATTAGAACGTCTAAGGTAGATCAGCAGCTTCCGACCGTCGAAAAGACGTCTACAATGCGATCTCCTTTTAGCGTAGATTGTTTATTAAGTTTCTTTCCTTATAACGGTAAAGATTTCCCAACGGCAGCACAAGACCTAGCCTGATATACCGACAAACGCCTTTTCGATAGCCGGAAGTTGCCAACCAGCTAAAACCTTGTCACCAATCTTGACCGTATCACGCAGCAGCATCACCATCAAACAGCGCTCTCCCTCATCGCCCCCCATCGTTCCGCCAACCGCCACATTTCCTTCCAAAATACATCCGTGCTCGGAAACTCGCCCATAAGCACCTCAATCCCCGGCCCCCCTGTTACCAGCTGCATCCTCACCATCTCGGGCACCACAACCGCCAAGCGCCCTTCAAACCACTTCGGCAACGACGGGTCGCCGTGGTGGCCACTCGCGACAAACCATCCCACGCCTAACGTCCAGGCCAGGGAAGGCAGGCGCGCGCCTGCGGCCGTCCAACGCTCTAGTAGGTCTGGTACTGAGAGCAGCGCGCGCAGCTGCCGCGAGAAGTGGCCTTTGGATGCAGTGTCGTATTTCAGATCGCTGAGGACGCCCCAGATGTAAAGATGTGCGGTCTGGGCGATGGCGGCGTAGACGAGGTCGCCGGGGGCGGGGGGCGGAGACGCCGCTTGGGCGCGCGTGCGCGTATTCGCGCAGTCGTTGTCGCTATGGAGCGTGAAAGCGTGCTTGGCCCACTCATGCGAACTTTTTAGCTTTACCAACACGCCCATGAGGTCGTACCATGCGACATCGGTCAAGGATCTCACGGTCCTGCGGTCCACGATTGTGCTCCACGGCGGCATGAGAGCGAGGCTTATCTCGTGTAGCTGGTACAACAATGAGTCGACGGGCGTGTCTGCTAGCGAGGGCAGGTGCGCTATCGTTGCAGCGTGGAATCCCTTCACTGTGCGCGTAAAGCCGAGCGGGAAGCTGGGGTTGAAGGGCAGACACGTAGGTCGCAGGGTGGGCATCCTGACCTGGCCAGCGCAACCGTGCATCTCACAACAGAATAGGGTGTGCTGCGTGTATTTGGAGAAGGTGTCGATGCCGCCGCGGGCAGCGATCAGGGCGTACATGCCATGGAGGTGGGAATTTACAGCGGCGAAGTCGCCCGCGAGGCTCTGGGACCACCATATCAGAAGAAGAGAAAAGAACCAATCGAGAAGACGCACCGTAATCGCAGCCAAGGACGCCACGGCAGCAACAAACGACTCCGAGATCTGGTCCGATGTAACGGACTCCCCCAGTGCCGGCATATTCTTCCGCACCGTCTCTATCGCTTGGCCCATGTACGAGAGGGAAGCACGGCTGATCCCCACCCCTGCATTCATTTCATGCACAATCGAGGTCCCGGACAGTAGAACCAGCAGCGACGACTGCTCCTGCCGCAGCAGGTCCCACAGCGTAATGTTCCCGTACACGACCTTTTCTGCATGGAGGAGGCGTGTCAGCAGTGGTAAGTAGCAAGAGCACAGTGGATCCATACATACCCTCAGCCAGCAGTGACGCGCCAAGGTAGTAAGTAAAGACTGCAGGGGGGTAAATAGAGCGTACCCGTCAGCCACTTAGACGCACATGCATGTCCGGTTGCGCCATCACGCACAGTACTTGATCGTCCGGTCCAAATGAATCGAGTCCTCGACGGGCAGGGAATCGAACGGGTCGGATCGGCCCGCGCCTACGCTCCAGACGGCGATCTGGCGCTGCAGGGCCGTCCGCGGCCTGCGACGTCGCTGCTGCTGCGGCTGCTGCTGCTGCTGCTGCTGCTGCTGCTGCCCTTCATCCTCGTCCCTCCCCCTGCTCTTGCCCGTCTCTCGGTTCCGCCGCTTCCCATCATGCACCACTAGCTGCACATGGCTGCGCAGCTGGCGCCGGTACGACGTCTTCTGGTCGCCGGCGACATTGACGAAGACGAAGGGTCTAGGCTGCTTAGAGCGCGACCTAACGGGGCGCGAAGGCAGGGACAATGACGCGGACGATGAGGACGACGAGGACGACGAGGAGATGGTGCTGAAGTCCGAGTCGCGACGCGTCTCAGAAGATGGTAGTGGCGATGGTGCAGCCGGGTTGGCATTGGCGTTGTTTGTGGGCCAGGCGGGCGGCTGTCGCGCCGAAGACATGATAACGGTGCTCGTTACGGGTCGACGCGAAAGGGCGCGGCTTTACTTAGCCTTGCATTGCGTTTGGGGGCGACGAATCGTTTTAGTATGGACGGGGGCGGGCGGCGGAGATGAGGCGTCGCACGCGTCGGTCCGGCCCGGAAGGATCGATCGCCTGCTCGCATTGTCCCGCTGTGGAGAGAGAGTGGGATAGCTATTTAGAACCCCACTCTGAGACAAGGTCGACGACGGCCTATAGAATTGTCTCCAAACAAAAGAGAGTCAGGGCCGTGCTTTATGGATTGGCGCGGGCTGTTATGTATGCCTGCCGCTTGTACACTGTACTCGTCACCCACATTTCTTAGGTTTTGTTTTGGATATCTGGGTTATCATATACCCAATCCAAGAATTTGAAAGCCATACAACTCGGCAATATTGCCTTATTAGGGATAGACAGCAGCTTCTAGTTTTTGCATGTTCAGGGCTTTCCGTCCCGGTTAGCCGATTGTAGCCAGCTGCATAAATCAAGCTAGGAATCAACCTTGTCACTACATGCAAGTTAGGTTCAAACAAGTTTCTTAAAAGAAAACAAAGACCAGCTATATCCAAATCCTCCTCTCACAGACATTCACCTGAACCATCGAGAATTTTCGAACATAAACACACTGTCTAGCACAACGCAGGCATCGATTATGGCGTGCTAAAAACCCTACCGGCCGTACGCGTTGTTAATTGTATCAAGTATCCCACACCCATGACCCGCAAGCACCATCTCCAACCCATCTACTTCCATACCCCCCGACCCTTTAATTACTAATCTCCCCTCCCCTCCCTAGTACATACCCCCTACGGCCCTATCCACCCCACACAGCAGTCCCATCCCCACCACCCCACTTCCACCATCCCTAACCCCCCCTGTCCGCCCCCCTCAGATGTCCGACCTTTACCCACTGGCTTCCGCTTTCAGGCCTAGCTACCTCGTGGTTCAGGCTCACAGAGTGGCCAGGCACGCACGCCTTCCCCCGGCTGGATGCCAGACGTTCGACCTTCTAGTCAGTGGCTTCCAAGGGGTTGCTGTTTTGGGTTGGTGTGCTGGCTGGAGACCGGTTAGTCAGCTTCCATGTTGCCGCGTTCAGCCTTCTTGTTGCACTTCCACTGGCAATAATGATATCCCTTAACAGCCTCAATATTCATCTCTATACGGTTCTATATCAAATACCCTTGCACTAGGACCAGTGCTTAGCATCGTAGCTTACGAGATCATTGTCACCATACCACACAAACTTGGTCTTAGAGGTTTTAAATCAACTACACATTCCCATTGATCGCTACAAGCTAGACTACAGGAAAGCGTAAGCAGCCAAGCGGGCGACTCGTCCACACAGCCGTAACGCATACCACCGACCAACTCTGCAGCGCCGAACTCTCTCCCAAAGAAAAAGAAAAAAAGAAGATACTATTATCCCTCCGGTGTGGCGCACTCACGAGTCCCACCGAAAAAATTGAAAAGAAAAAAAAAAAAAAAAAGTGAAAAGGGAAAAGGGAAAAGAAGAAAGAGGAGAGAGAAAGGAGAAAGCTCGAACAACCTAGGGAATCATCCACGCCTACCGCCCGCTTTAAGAAGTTGTGTCGCGTTGTGCAAGCCAACGGCCATCTTACGAGCTGTTCGCATACGCCTTCTCGACCTCCTTCTTGTACTTGTCCAGGATGCCCCTGCGGTTGAGCTTCTGCGCCGCAGTCGTAAGGCCGTTTTGGGCGTTCCACTCCTCGTCCGCGAGCACAACACCGTCGATAATTTCGAACGAGGCAAGGCCACCCTTGCGACCGGCGGCTTGAAGCTGCTGCAGCACGGCTTTGTTGAGCTTGGGCTCGTGGACCAGCTGCTCCAGGTGGTCGCCCGGCACGCCCTGCTCGGAGGCCACCTTCTTAAGCGCGGCCTCGGCAGGCACAATAATGGCGATGGGCTTGTGCTTGTCCTGCGCGGCGTAGATGCAGATGTTGGCGACGACGGGGTGGGAGCGGTAGATAGACTCGAGCTGCGGTAGATTAGTACCGGAGAAGCGAAATTGGTGAACAGTGAGTTGACTTACCTTCTCAAGAGCAATGTACTCTCCGGCCTGCGTCTTGACCAGGTTCTTCTTGCGGTCAATGATGCGGAGCTGACCCTTGGCATCGAATTCACCAATATCGCCCGTCTTGAACCAGCCATCGGAGGTGAAGTTCTCCCGCGTCTCCTCCTCAAGGTCGAGGTAACCCTCGGTAACACCGCCACCGCGGATCCAAATCTCACCTTGAGGTGGGTCGTTCTTGGCGAAGTAACCAGCATCGGCGAAATCGACGAGCTTGATCTCGATACAGCCAGGAATCTCACCCAGCGCCTGGTTGGTGTAGGCAAGCGGGTCCATCAGAGCACCCATGGCAGCCGTCTCAGTCAAACCATACCCACTGATCATTGGCGTGATAGCCATAGACAGGAAGTTCTGGGTGTCCTGGGAGACAGGACCGCCGCCGTTCATCAGAATCCGCAGCCTGCCACCAGTCGCCTCCCTAATCTTGTTGAAAACAATAGTATCAAGGAGACCAGCACCAGGGAAGCCGGTCGACATCATGAAACCCTTGGCAGCCATGGCACCCCAGAACAGGTTGCGAACAAGGAAGTTGGCGTTGGAGATCTTGCCCATGATGCCCTTCTTGATAGTCTCCCACACGGCGGGCACACCGACAAGAACGGTGGGACGGAACTCTTGAATGTCACCCTTGCAGTTACGGACGCTAGCATCGGACAGCGTGCGGGCGTTTCCATAGCCCATGGTACCACCCCAGAAAAGGACTGCGTTCTCGAAGACGAATTCCAGAATGTGCGCAAGAGGAAGATAGGTGAGCAGACCATCGCCAGGACCAAGGTAGGGGCCAACGATAACATCAACACCAGTGACTGCGATTGAGGTTAGCCGCTTTATTTCATTGGCGCGCTCGGATTAAGGCTGGCCACTTACTCGCAGCAACAACGTTCTTGTGCTTCAACAAGACGCCCTTGGGAGTGCCGGTGGAACCGGAAGTGTACATGATACAGCACAGGTCCTCAGCATCGGGAGGCGTGGGATCCACCGGGCTGTCCTCGCCCAGCCTTCTGAGCTCCTCGAAGCTCTTGATATTAAGGTGAGGGTGCGCCTCCTTGAGGCTGTCAATGTCCGCTGCCTTAACCTCGGAGGTGTTGTTGTAGATAACATGCTCGATGGCCTTGGCGGTCTTCAGAGGGTTGATGAGCTTGGTGAGAAGCTGCGGGTCGAGGAAGATGGCCTTCGCCTTGGTCTGCTCAAGAGAGTGCCTCAGACCCTCCTCGCCGAGGGTGTCGTAGGCGGTAACGATCGGCATTGACTGGGACAGCGCACCTAGTTCAGACTGTCAGTGCAAACTCTACCGCGCATTATTTGGCAGACGCGACTTACCGTGAGCTGTAGCAAGCCAGTGGGCGCTTCCGGATGATCAGCAATAGCGTACGGGATATTGGAGATCGACTTACCTCGTGGCGGCAAAGATGTGCACCCTGTCTGGAGCCTGCATGCCGAGTGCCCTGAAACCGCATCCGATCTGTAGCGCCAGCTTCTCGTACTCGACGAAGCTTAGGTAGTTGTAGGGGCTCAGCTCGAAGTAGGACCACTTCTTGTCGACCTCCTGCTCCTTGCCATCGACCATCTTCTTGATCTTCTTCGTCTCGTGGTGCATCTGGACGAGCTTGCGGGTGCCGACGGCCTTTGCATTGCCGAACTTGGCAGAGGCGTACTTGAGGACGTCGTAGATGGTCGCAATGTCTTCGTGCGGGCGCATTTTGAGAGCATCCTTGGTGCGCACGTTACGGCGCGGGATCGTCTCGCCCTCGACCTTCTCGCAGCCGGCGACTTCGACGGAGAAGGGCGGCGACTTGTACGACCGCGGTTGCGGCGTCATGGTCTTGAGGTTCTGTACCATTGTGGCAGGTGGTGAGGAGCTCCCCGTGAAAGCTCAGGAACGTATGTAGCGTGACGTAGGGGATTAGCCGATAGGAGGCGAAGAGGGCAGAGGGAGGTAGATGGTGGCGCGAGATGAAAGAAAAACAGACAACGGTGGGAGGATGTAGAAAGAGGGGTTTTGCGGGAGGTGGGTATATGTTGGCCGACGTGAAACAGCTCGGGAGGCGTCGAGAGGATGACGAGGTTGTGGCTGGAAATTAGGGTCCGTGGTCTGGACGGAGCCGGTGACGTTTTCGCTTCCAGGCCCCGAGTCGGCTCAGTGTGGTGCAACAGCCGCCCACCTCAACAAACCTATCTCCCAGCAAACTGGGTGCGCATAAAAGCGTACCTTTGTCGCGGCGCACTCTCACCTGACCCTCCGTTTGGCTGCCGCTGAGGGGAAGAGAGAGGGAGTGTGTGTCAGTTGTCCAAGCCCGCGTAGCGCTTTCCATCCACCCATCGCCATTGCCTGTTTCCTGAATCCACCAACCGCCCGCCAATAATGGAACAGCTCCTTCAAGCCCTGCACGACGAGGTCCATGACCCCGAAGAAGGTGATTGGGCCACTCTGCGCCAGACACTTCACCCTCGACCTCCGCAACACTCGCAACTAAACCACTGAACCCTTCGCAGACGCCTTTCTCGTCTTTTCCCAGCCCGTCCCGTCCCATGCTCTCGGCATCATTGACAACAAAGCCTCCTCGCTGGAGCTCACCGTCGCCGGTCGCGACCTGACCATCTCCCAATCCCCAGGCCTGCTCACGTCCAATCGCGCCCTTGGCAGCACCGGTGCTGTCGTCTGGAAGGTCACGCCTCATTTCGCCGAGTGGATCGCGAGCGAAGGCAACCTTTTATTCAGATCCCAGGCACTGGGCTCGGATTCGACCGTCTTGGAATTGGGCGCTGGCGTCGCAGGCATCGTACCGCTCGCCCTGGCGCCAAGCGTAAGCAGATACATTGCCACGGATCAAGACTACGTGCTGAAACTGCTGCGCCAAAACATCGCGGACAACAGCAGCGCCAGTAAAGTTGGTGCGAAACGCGGAAAGTCTCAGAAAGGTCGGGCGGGCGCGAAAGCGCAAGACACGTCGTCGGCCGGGAAGATTGAAACGCTGACGTTGGACTGGGAGAGTGACTCTGTGGCCTCTCTTCCCCAGCAACTAAACCGGCAAGTTGGTGGGATTAGCCCTGCCGAGGCTGGTGTCGATGCCATTATTGCTTGTGATTGCATCTACAATGACCATCTCATAGAGCCGTTTGTCAATACGTGCGCCGACATCTGTGCGCTACGGCCGCAGGAAGAGGGGGTTAAGCCTACCATCTGCATCATCGCACAACAGCTCAGGACGCACGAGATCTTTGAATCGTGGCTTGTGGCTTTTCATCGACGGTTCAGAGTCTGGAAGCTGCCTGATGAGCACATGCCCAAGGAGCTTAGAGAAGATTCGGGGTTCATCGTCCATGTCGGTATTCTACGATAGCAGAAATTAAAATGCTATGTTAAAATAGGAGTAATACGAACTACTCTGAGATGCTGATAATCGTAGTGTGTCTACACTCTACAAAGACCCAGTTGTCCTCCTGGCGACTGATTTCGAACGGTTGCAATTTCAAGCACATGCTGCCTAGTTTCTGAGTACACCAAGACTTATCCACGAACCCCGTATGTTAGGAGAGCAAATCGCAGAGGATCATAAGCACCGACCCACTACCCAGTAACCAGGCACCGGTTCTCCGCATCCTGGTACAGGTACATGTACAATGTAGGTACGCATTCTGTGCAAGCACGTTTCCCGAGGTCCAAGAGATGCCGTGCCGAGGCTCGCCCCTCAAGTTACACTGCCACAGCCTTGCCGTTCTGCAGTGGCACGAACCACGGGCCAACTCTCGTCAAGCCTTCCGAAGAATCCGCTGCCAAGCTGCTCATCATTCAACGGCCGCCACCGCTGATCCAGTCTGTGCTGCCGTGATGGGCCTTGTGTGGGGAATCCCGAGGTCGGGGACCCTAGTCTTTGGCCCCCAGGATTCGCAACGGCCATCTGCGGCTGAACCACGCGAGCTTCTTCTGCGTGAAACGACGATCTTGTATGGAGTCCCAGAGTTGCGAGTAGGTAGGTGTGACCACTTAGCGGTGATAGCAAGGCTGTTAGACTTGCAGTAACAGCGCTTTCCAGTTCCCCCATGACTCCTTAGCCCGAGAAACGATGGTAGATCAGTTTGCCATCAAGGCACACCACTTTTGTTGAGTGTTATTGTTGGTAAAAAAAGCTCTTGGTACTTAAATAAATTCCGTCACCGTCGACCGAGATTCTCCGCCTAACGGGATAATGACATTCGTATTGTACGGAGTGAAAAAGAAATCTAGCTAAGATGTCTATAGTATGCGTACGCTCTAAGGCTATTTCACTCATGTCAAGGACCAAGACCTTTGGATTTCATTAGGGACTGCTTGTGTCCTTCCATATCTCGCTTGAGGCGGTGACGGATGTTCGTCAATCTCCCTGCAAGAAGCCAGAACAAACTGAGGCATCGCAGCACGAGATGCAATGACAATGAAACCTTGCAGCGCAACACGCCCACTTAAAGCTTTAGAAAACTTAAATTTGCAACTGAACATACAAAACTCTAAGTGATATTTCTCCTCAACGGTGGAAAGCTGCTGACAGACTCAAACGCATTTAGGTTTGACTACAAATGAATTGGTAGTGGTGGTATTTTCTGGTAGCATAACCTTACTTATAGGACAAATTCGAAAAGCTGCTATAATGACATTTGCTATCCTGTTTTTTCAATTTATCCTGTAAGTTGTGCTATTTGCGTCTGATTGGGTGGGTGCTTCGCGTCTGATTGTTGTGTGGGTGCTTTGCGCCTGCTCTTTCCCGTTTCGGCAGGCGGCACGGCGTGCCTCCCCCCACAAAGAAGGGAAGCTGCCTGCCTGCCCGGGCTGTCTTGCTTGTGCCGGAGCACAATGTTCCTTCCCTGACACAAGGTGAGCCGCCCGCTCTTCACTGTTTCTTAGGCCTGAGCAGGCTGGCTCTCTCAACCTCTCCACTCCGACGTCACTGGCTCTCGGCCGCTTCTGCGTTTCACTCCATCTGGAGACTTGTGTCGCTTACCTACTCGCGTGGTTGCCGCTTTGCAACTTACGCGTCCTTGTACCATGGCGGAGAAAGACCATTGGAACAAAAGTACGTCAGCCGTTGTCCCAAAATGAACGCCTATACCTCTTGCTGACCACATCCCAGAAGTGAGGAAGGAGTATGTCCAGAAAGCACTTCGGGTCGTTCAGCCGCAGCCAGAGTATCCTTCGGAAAAGGCCCTCCATGATTACGTCCATGAGGTCCTGTCCAACAGCGAGAAATTTCCTTTGCCGAGTTTTGCAGCGTTCACGCGGGAGAGTATCCTTAATGTCCTCACAGTGGATGTTCAAAGGCGCTTGGTGGCGAGTAGCCAGACGAGGGTTACGGCTGGTAAGCCCTCAAACGTTGCCTTCTTTGAAGATAAAGGATATTAACACCAATTCAACAGCTCCTATGACGATTGGATCTGTTAAGGAGGAGGAGAAGGTAATGAATACGGCGCCGCAACAAGTGCGCCCGGAACTCGAGAGGGAACAAATTAAATGCGCTGAAGCTCTGAAGCTTATAAGCTCCGCACAGCAGCTCCTCGACGACGCACTGAAGATTCTGCAATCTTGCTCGACGCAACCCCACGAAGAAGTTCACAGCAAAAGACATGACACCGTCAACAGCAAGCAGGCAAATTCGGCGGACAAATACCACTCCACCCCTACCTCGATCTTGCCGGAAACCTCGACCTCCACCAACCAAGATTTTCACATCAAGGACTACGATCCTACAGTTTCCAAATCGGGTGCTGGGATTCACAAGCAGTCGAATGCTGGATCTCGTGCTGGTTCGCATGCTTCGATTCACTCACTGGGGAAAAAGCGCAAACAGGACGCGGTAATGGACACTGGAGACAAATCGGCAATCACCACTGTCAAGAAGGGGCCATCTTCTCCGGTTGACTTATTACAGCCCAGAAAGAAAAGTCGTCCGCATAAGAAGAAACAGTTCATTAAAAAAGAGGCTGAGTGAGTTGCGGATATATGCATGCTAGCTTCAGTCATCATCAAAGCATTCTGTCTTAGATGCATCATAGCAGCTGTAAGTATCACTTCTATCGATGCTCTACAAACGAATTGACAAATGTAAACCAGGCAACAATCCAACGAGTCTACTCAACTTCGAGCACAACTACCAATACTTGTCTCGATTCCAAAAATGGCCGGCGACGTCTCAGTATATTGCTCAGATGCACATCATGATATACAATCAACGACAACGGTGTGTTAGCTACAGACTTGAGGGCAGAGGGGCACTAGTAGCCGGTTAAACAGACAGGGGTCAAACAATACCATGTCGGATAGCTTCCTAAGTCTCTTTACAATTCGAAAGCTTCATCCGGTAGACTTGTCAACCTGTGACCAGCATGTGTGATCCGTCCTCTATTGTCTTTGCATGTGGAACGGTAATGATCGGTCACCACTCTAAACACTGGGTTAAAGACATACATAATACCGGCCTGAGCTAAAGGGTGAGAGGCACTATAGCTCCAGGACACCGAAACATGCTCACGCCTTGCGCTTCATTAGAGCAATGGCGTTCTTATAGGGGATGAGTTCGGACCATTGTTGATTGTAATCAAGGAGATGGGCGAAAAAAGAAATGACAGAAATGAGAATAGAGATATAACCATAAGCCAAAATTGACGTGCGAGAGCTGGAATTCTTTTTTTTTTTTTCATCAAGCGTTGAATTATGAAGACATGGTAGCACAAATACAGGCGGCGGGGCAACGGCGGCCAGGACTTATTCGGCTCTCGGGCTGGCTGTTGGTGATGTCCCTCGGCCTCGGATGCTGTCATACGAGAAGACCAATTCACGGCTCAACTTGACTAATTTCGGGTGCGCGATAGGAGAATTCGTACGTTCGATGGGCATTGGTGGTGTTGCTTGAACCGCGCCTCGGATATAGCGTGGCAGCTCGGACGGGAACGCTTCCACGGAAGGATCCACGGCTCAAGACAGCTGGCATGTAAAGAGGACAATGTTTCATTTCTTTTTCTCGAATATTCCCTAGCTTTGAAAGCGCCTTTGTTCAAGTAGTCTTTGTAAGCTCGCGCCGACGCGGCTGCTAACTCCGTCAGTACTCGTAGAAGATGGTTGTCGATGACTTCATGTTGCTACCTGCATTTCGCTATAAGTGCCGACGCATCACCCGCACATCACTTGAGCCGCACCAACATCAACTCACCTAAAGAAAAAAAAAAGTCATTCACATCACATTCGACCATCAATTACCTTTTCAACCTCTCCAGCAAGTCTCAATTCCTCACAATGCCTTTCGAATACAAGAAAGTCCTTCTCATCGGCGCCACCTCGGGCATCGGCGAGGCTCTCGCGGCCAAGATGGTCGCGGAGGGCGTCAAGGTCGTTGTCGTGGGCAGGAGGCAGGATAAACTCGATGCCTTTGTGCAGAAGCACGGAAGCGACAAGGCGACGGCGTACGCCTTCGACATCACGAAGCTGAGCGAGATCAAGAAATTTGCGGCCGACGTGACGGCAGCGCACCCGGACATCGACAGCGTCTTCCTCAACTCGGGTATCCAGCGTGGCATGAACTTCCAGAAGCCCGAGAGCATCGATTTGGACATTTTCGAACAGGAACTGACGACCAACTACACCTCTTTCATTCACCTGACGGTGGCGCTGCTGCCGTTCCTGCAGCGCAAGAAGACGCGCACCAGCATCATCTACACGACGTCCGGCCTGGCGCTGACGCCCATGGTGCGGTGCCCGAACTACTGCTCGACCAAGGCGGCGCTGCACCACTTCATCCTGGTGCTGAGGCAGCAGATGGTCGACGGCGGCTTCAACGTGCAAGTCGTCGAGATCTTCCCGCCGGCGGTGCAGACGGAGCTTCACGACGCCGAGGTGCAACCTGACATCAAGGACGGCCGCAGTGTCGGTATGCCGCTCGCCGACTTTGTGAACGACACTTGGGCTGGCCTGGACGCCGGCAAGGACCAGATCCCCGTGGGCACCAGCAAGATGAGCTTCGACAGCTGGGAGCAGGACCGCCAGAAGGGCTTTGCGAAGATGTCGGAGCACTTGAGCGAGTTCACGCAGAACTTCTACAAGCACGGCGAAGCGTGAAGGGAAGGTACTGTACAGATGCTAGACAAATACGTAAATAAACGCCGTACGTCAATCAAAAGTCATGAGTGTTTGAGGTGGACTGTTTGCGGCCGTGTCAGGCTTCTTGGCTTCGTATCGAAATAACGGCGGCGTCTGCACAGCCCCGAACGACGGAACCTCGCGGCGCGCGGCCACCGGCGACGCCTCTCCCCTCTCGAGCTGCAACGACTAAACATACATCCGCAACAAACCACTCGCACCTCGTTCAACCCCCTGAAACTATACCCAGCCATTGGCAGCCGTTCGCTTCAGTCTTTCGAATACCCCGTCCCACCGCAACCATGGGTTACGAGGAGTTCAGCACCGCCATGACCAGCCGCTCGCTGCGGACCATCAAGACGGTAAGTCCGCAGCCTCACCTACACCCACCTGTCGTTTGTTCGTTCACACCCGCTGACTATTTCACTAGGAACTCGAGTTCCTGACCGACTCCGGCCACATCACCACTGCGCAGTTCAACTCGATCCTCTCGCAGCTGCCTGCGCAGCCCTACAGCGTCGCCGAGAACGCCAGCGTGCCCATCCAATCGCCCTCGGCAATCAACACGCGCGGCGGCAGCACGACGAACACGACGACGCCAGTCTTCCCTGCCCTGCCCCTGCGCAACCAAACGCCTGTGACGGCGACGCCTCCTCCACCGGCAGCGGCCTCTCCCGCCCCGGCCCCAGCCCCCGCCCCCACGAACGAGAAAGTCGGCTACTACGCGCACGACCCGACGCCGCCGCCGCCCGCGTACGCGTCTACGCCGCCGGCGCCCCCCGTCCTCGCGCACGCTACGGCGCTGTACGCGTACGCGCCCACGGACGCCGGCGACCTGGCGCTCACGGCCGGCGAGCCCGTCCACGTCACCGAGTACATGAACGCCGAGTGGTGGAAGGGGCGCAGCGTGCGGACGGGCGCCGAGGGCATCTTCCCGCGCGCGTACGTCCGCGTCGACAACAACGCGCCGCCAGCGCCCGCGCAGGGCCCCATGAGCTATGGCAACATGCCTTTGGCGGTCGCGCAGGGCGGCCCTGCTGCTCCCGGCCCGAATGGCGAGGTTGTGCAGCAGGATGGCAAGGCTGGCAAGGGCCAGGAGATGGGCAAGAAGTTTGGAAAAAAGTTGGGTAATGCGGCGATTTTCGGTGCTGGTGCCACGATTGGTGGAAACATTGTTAATGGCATCTTTTAAGCTGATGCGCGGCGAGGGATGGGGCGCGGGGTGCTGCGCTGCTGCTGTTGCTGCACGGTGACATCGCTGCAGCATCACGCGGCGTGGCGTGGCGTCGCTCGACCTGATGCGATAGGACAAGCCGCCGAGCGGTGTCGCTGTCTCCGTGCCCCCGACGATGGTCGTCGAATCAAGCCATGGGAATCTGGGAACTGGGTTGGTGGAATAGGTACAGGCGTTCGTTTTACTTTGCTTTGTATCTCTTTGTTGGGTTCTTTCGCCTGGTCTGGCTGTAGGTATAATCGATCCTAGGTCCTGGCATCGGGACGCACGTTCTTTTCTCTGCCGCCGCTCTTTTGCTCTCGTTTTGTTGGTTGTTCGTTTCGTTGCGTTGGGTTGTTGTATCAAACAATCACTTTTTTGGTTTTTTCTGACGTGCACGGCGCGCTGGCTAGGCTTGGCTGCTGCTGCGTATGTACGTGCTTATTGAGAGTTCGTTGTGGACTTCTTTGTTCCTGAGTAGCTATGCTGTCTTGTGTGCTGCTGCTGGCGCTGTGTGTGGGCTGCTACGCTTCACTGTGCTGCTGGGCTGGGTGGGTGTGCGTGCTTCGCCTGCCGCATACCGCTCCGCGTCCAGTCAAGTCTTCCCCCGATGACGCCCTGCGTCCCGTCTACCTACCTACCTACTCATCTCCGCCCAATCCCTCCCACTTGTCCATAGACCGCTCCTGCCTCTTCCGTTTCTTCTTTTTCTCCTCCGCCACTGGCCTCACGCACTATCGCTCACTGACAGTGTTTCCGGTACGAGGTCTGCTAGCCCGCAACACGATGCCAAGGGAGTGAGGAGAGAGGGGGTGTGAAGCAGTGTCAGTGGCATTAGAGGGTTAGAGCAGTGAATGGGGCCCTGATGAATATGGTAGGTGAGTGATGAGCGTATTGAGCTTGTGAAAAGGGGGCAAAAAGAAGTGGCGCAGCCAGGAATCAAACTCGCAAAAAGAAGAATAGGCAGCGGTTGAGGTGCAACACGCTCAAGGGTGCGTCACCCGATCAGCTCAAACCAGTAAACCAGTAGACCAGTAAACCGGTAGGAACGGGAGGATATGCTTTCAACGGTTGCTCTGTGTTGCGGAATGAATGGCGCCCTGGCCTTATATACTAATGTATTCTACTGTGCACTTCATGGATTCACCATTGCAGTGTGCCAGACTGTTACCGGTATAGGGGTTGGTTAGTAAGACCGGCGGCTGGGGTGTGTGTTAAGGTTGGGGCGGAGGTAGGGATGAGAGGTGAATGAATGACGTGTGAAAGTGAAGTGAACAGTGAATGAAGACAGTGACTAGCGCCGTTTGGCGTATGTTTATTCTCCCTCCGCTGAGTATAAAATCTCTCCCACTTTCGGCCAACCTTTACTTCTACAATCTCTTCCTCAACCTCTTCCTCAACCTCTGCATCTGCCTCTTTCAACCCACATCCAAGACCAGCTCTCGCGATTCAGTCCAGCGCGACGACGCAAACGCAATCGTCTCCAATGCTACCGTCGCACACAAACGGTCCTCTCTGCCCGGTTTCTGGGTGGCGTTGCCTTCACTTTTGCGGTCAGGCCATGAGCTTTCGCTACAACGCCGCAGACACGACTTCTGGTGCCCCCGGCACCATGCCCTGACCCTCAGAGAGCTCAATGCCAACGACTGCCTCACTTGACATCTATCACGCTCGCTGAGCTCTGTCACTCACGGAAGACAACCGTCGACATGTTGGCCTTGTTAAGCTGGTACGTCACTTCACTTCACTTCACATTCCCCGTCCAACCCCACGCATCTACATGATGACCACTATTCCATCCGCGTGTGTTTTATGGCTGCTCTTTAACGAGGACTTTGCTTGTTGCGTTGAGCATGTCCTCGTTAGCGGCATCCAGATGTTAGAGACTTGGTTTCCTGATCTTCGATGCTGTTCTTGCTCTGCTCTGCTCCCTTGCGGCTTCTTTGGTTTGGTCTGACTGACTTCAACAGTAATAGGTCTATCTGTACGACTGCGCTTGAAGACACTGTCGCGCTTTGTCAAGGTACGTCACTTCGCCGTCGGGTTTCGTCCAGCACTACTCCCATCCATACCTATGATGACTATCCAATCCATCCGCGTGTATTTTATGGTTTGCTCGCATGGCGGGCATCCAGCTGTTCAAAAAGAAATTGGTTACTGAGCTTCCGCATTATCCATTCTTCACAGCGTCGCTCTTAGAGTTTTCTCCGACTTCAATCTGACTAACACCTGTCGCAGGTTTCTTCACCTTCACCACGTCTCCACTCCAAAGGAAAACAGTGTCGACACATTGGCACCACTAAGCCGGCAAGGTACGGCACTTTGCAAAACCCAGCAGTACAGCGCTCCCACCCATCCATGATGACCAACAAATCCATCCGCGTGTATATTTACGGATTGCTCGTCACGTCTTGCATCCACTGATAAAAAAACGGATTTCTGAACCGACGCTGCTGCTCTGCATTGGTTCCAAAAGGTTTTAATAGCTAGAGCTTCGAACTGACTTCCTTCATTCATCTCTTGCAGACATCTTCTTCATTACGACCCGACCCACCCCGCTCAAAACCACCCACTTACCCAACTAAGTAAAAATGGCTACAAACAGCGACGCCGGCACCAACCTCCCATCTTCCACCCTACGTGGTATGTAGCCCTTACCCCCAGCTTTTCTAGTTACTCTTCAACAGGTACCAACACCAACACAACACAACACAAAAACAAACCAAACCAACCACCCCACCCCACCACCCGCAAAACCATGCACGTATCCAGCCTACATATGCCGACCTTACCTTCGCCGTCCCTACAATACACACACAATCCTACTCCAACTCCATTGCACGCACCGATCCAACAACCAACCAACCCTCATGCTTTCACACCTGCTTACCTGCCTTCGTACTATGTACTACGTACTAGCCACACTAGGTAGCTACGCGTAGCGGACCAAGCCCCAAGCCCAGTCCAAGACCAAGACCAAGTCCAAGCTTCCCGCGCGCTACTTGCGGGGAGGGCACGAGCACGAGCATGAGCACGCGCACGCACGGACGAGCGGAGACCGGGCGGACGGAAGGAAGAAACCTTAGGAAGGAAAGTAGGACGGGCAGAGGCGGAGGCGTGGAGCGTGGAGGGGCAGCCAGCGAGGTGTGGAGTGGAGAGCGGGGGAGGCGTGGCGAGGAATGCGCTTGGTGGTGTGTGCGTGTGTGTGTGTGCTGGACCCAGGAAGAAAAACGACAGAGATTGAGAAGTGGGAATGGACTACCTATGATGTATGTACTGTTTGGTAGGCGAGAGTAATGATTTGTCAGTGCTGTATGTACATACTGTGCTGCTATACACGTACCGTGCGACTGGTCTGGAACCTACTGGTGCAGGTGTGGGCGGATGGCAAGCATACCTTGACAGACGCTTAAACCGTCCCGCCGCATCACTCGGTCACGCCTACGATAACATACCGTACCAACCACCTCGACACCCTTACAAGAGCTCACTCCGTCCACATCATCGAACCCACCTCTCAAAAAAGCCACAAGAACAAACAGCAGTCACCCACCCCTTAACCATAATACCCCAGCCCCAGCCCCAACGCCTCGCACTGCGCCGTCTCACCAAACGGCACGCTCCCAGGCAGCGGCCACTGCAAATTCCGATACGCCGGGCTCTCCGCACTCACCTGTTCCCACATCCCAGCCCGCCGCACCGCAGCCAACGTGCCATCAAACCCGCGCGCCCGCAAAAACTCCTCCGTCAGATTCGGGTCTCCCGTCCGCGCAAACGCCGTCCACGAGTCCAGCACCAGCTGCGAGAACGGTATGTCTCCCTCGTCGCGGAACGGTAGGCCCTGACGCGCCACGTTCCCGAAGACGTAGTACAGCTCGCCGCTGTGGCACTTGTAGTACTCCTGTTCGGGGTCACCGGCGGGATGGGCTGGGCTGGGTGGCGCGTCGCAGACGGGCGCGTTGGGGTCGTAGTCTGTCAGCTGGTAGGAGCGGTTGAACTCGTAGTAGTGCACTGAGGGGAAAAGGGAGTGAAGCGCGCCCGCATAAGCAATTGCGTAGTCGAGGCAGCGGAACTCGGCGTCGGTTGTGAAGCGGGCGGTGGTGTTGAAGAGGGCGAGAGAGGCGTTGGTGGGGTTGGGAGGGAGGGGAAAGGCGCCAGAGGAGGCGACACTGGTGGCGTAGCTGGTGTTGTAGAGGCCGGAGCTTGTGAGGAGGGACGCGAGGTCCGTTGTGTTACTATTCGGGCTAGGATAGCTGATGAACGCGGCAGCATCGTCGCGCATCGTGCCTATCATGAGAGGGACGTGGGCAACGGGGCTGGTGCCACTTAGTAGGCCTGAGGACGTGATGTATGTCCCGTCGATAACAGGATTGCTGGGGGTTTCATTGTTAGTATTTCAACGCCATTGTGGATTTACCACAATACGACATACCTCGAATGACTTGTCAGGGAGATTAGCTCAGTACCATCGTATTTCCGCAGGCAATCCAACTGAGAAGTGGCGTTGGCACATCCAGTTTCATTCAGAATCGCGTTTGCTCTCTGCGCCACTTCTTCAGCTATCGAGAAGTACTGCGTATCATGCAATGCGAACCCCTGGCCTGTCAGGCTGCTCATTAGAATTGCAGCCTGGAACTTTCCAATGGCCTTGGGGCTCTCCAAGAGAACTTTTACACTGTCTGCACCGGCAGATTGACCGAAGATTGTGATATGCTGAGGATCGCCGCCGAAAGCATGAATGTTTGCGCGTATCCAATCAAGCGCCGTGATTTGGTCTGCGATGCCAAAATTGCCGTTGGTTACACCGTCATCAAGCGCCAGGAAGCCAAGAGTGCCAAGTCGGTAGTTGATGGATACGACCACGACGTCGCCACGCGAAGCCATGTTTCCGCCATCAAATGTCGGATCACTGCCCGTGCCCTCGACAAAGGCTCCTCCATGGATCCAGAACATCACAGGTTTGAGTTTCTTGGTAGTGGAGGGACTGGAGGGAAGGTAGGGCGTCCAAACATTTAGGAAGAGGCAATCTTCGCTACAGGTACTGGGAGTGCAGCTGCTCTGCAGACACTTGGGACCGGCAGTGAGGGCTGAAACGCCACCAATGTCGTTGTAGACTGTCGAATAAGTGAAGCGCTGAGGCGGGGAAGCATAACGGATGCCGAGAAAACGGAAGCTCAATTTGTCGCGATATCCTGTGATTGTTTGACCACCTGTGGTGATGGTGGTCTGCCATCTGGCTGAGGTATCGGTTTGATTCAAAGTGAACAACTGTGCAGACTGTGTGCATAAAACAGGCAGGTTGGCTTCGCAAGTGGTTATGGCAAGAGTGCCATTCTGTGATATGGCCAAACAGTCACGATCCGCGGACCCACCAGTCCAATAGAAAAGGCCTTTGTTTGATGGGTTTGTGTAGCTTAGATAGGCCAAAGGGAGTTCCGTGCGGTTGCTAAGTGGCGTCCAAAGGCTCTCACCGAGGGTTTGGCAGCTTGTCTGGGCAGCCTGTTGAGTCTGTGGAGCGTCTAGGACGATTACTGCGACGTCGGTTGCGCCCCCGTTGCCTAGAATTGTTAGCTTCACACCTACATATACAAAATGCATCCAGAATAGGTAGGTAGATGTGATCAGGCAACGAGGCTACGAAATGCACAGCGTCACCCCGCAGCCAGTGTCCACACGTGATCTGCAGGCTGATGTCTTACAAACCGTGAAATGAAATTGATTGTCTCGACGATCGTCTATGCTTACTGTGGCCGGGGCGTTTGGCTGCGGGAGAGGCGGCGAGGGTCAAGAGCTAGAGCGCTGAAAAATGCACGCGTACCATACAGATCATTGTGGAGGAGTATGGTCAGGTCCGAGCCAACGGAGGCAGGGCTGGGGACTGCATGAACAGAAGCAACGAAAGCGGAAAGAGCAGGCAGGAGGCTTGAAACGAATAAGAGCATGCTGGGCGAGAGGAGGGGGAGAGGGTGACGGGGAGGGGAGAGCAGCAGTTGGAGGACATGAGCATGGTTATAGGCAGGTACGGATACCAACCTAGGTGGATCAGGCAGCGATGACGCGGGCGGGGAAAAGAGGGGGAGCGAATGAGGAGAGCGGGCTGGACATTTAACCAGCGTCAGCACACCGCCATCACGTGAGAGGGGCGGGTTTCAGACGGGCATGCAACAGGCAGGTTATCAGCAAATGGCGCAGGTGGGTGGAGCAGGTTCGCCCGCCCGCCAGCTCGACTCATCCATCGCCTTCCCACCTTTTCTCTGCATCGCGCGTCCTCCAGAGCGTCCAGACACGCCTCGCCCACTCGGCCACCCACGCACACCCACCCGCCCACAGACGCCCGCCGCAACGACAGCTCGACCTTGCGTGGGTGTCGCAGCAGCACGACATGCGCCGCTCGCCGCACGCCCGCCGACGCGCCCGCAAAAAGTTGGCACGTCTTGGGTGCCCTCATCTCTCTGCCATGTCGCATCCGGACTAGCCGCTATGACCAAAGCGGCATAGCGCCGTCCGCCTGCTCAATCCAAGCCATTCTCCCTCCAAGTCAACCGTCTCCAAACACCCTTACACTGCCGCCCTTCATTCCCACCTTCTCCGTCCCCCCACCGTCGCATCTCAATCGCTGCGCCCGTCCGTCTGACCCTCTGCTCTGTCCGCCGCCGCCTCCGCCCGCGCGACTGCCTCTTGACGAGCCCGCCTCAGCCGCGCACCTCGTTTCGTCCTCGGCACGCCCACCGCCCGTACTCGACCCGTCCTGGCCATAACCCATTCTCTTCCCGTAGACGTGTCGTCCACCCAACTGCCGCGCCCGCTGGTTCCTGTCCTCGACATTGCTTCCTCAGGGCCCGCCTAGCGCATCGCCGACGCCCGTCCGCGTCGCCGTTGAGCCCCGGCTCCCAAGAGCAACGCGATCGCACAAAGCCTGCAGCTACTGAAACGGGACACCTGCGCGACCGTCTGAGCTCACAGAGTCGTTAGGTTCCCTCCTTGACGCCCTTCGCCTCGTTGCGACGGCGTCATGCGATTCCAAGCAAGACGAGTCTGAGCCGCCGATACCTCTCCCTGACAACTGGCGGATTATGACAGAAATCCCCCTGCTGCAGACGCATGCTGTCCCTCAGCTAAGCCCAAGGGCTCCCTTTGCGCCCGTTCCGTACCCCATCCCCAACGGCCACCCGGCCGTCGACCCCTCTGAGCCGGACGATGAGCCCATCTCCGACACGATAAAGTGCATCTGCGGTTACGAGCTGGATGATGGCCACAGCGTCTTCTGCGAGCTCTGTCGAACGTGGCAACACGTGCACTGTTATTACGAGGGCCAGCATGCGATCCCGGCCATCCACGAGTGTGTCGACTGTCACCCGAGGGCCATGGACATGCAACGCGTCAACACACGAAAGGAAAAGTTCAGGACCGGGGAATACATGATTGAAGACGAGAAGGAGGAAACGACCAAAGCCCGACGACCGGCAACCAAAAGTCACAAGAAGAAGTCCAAGGACACCAATGCTGCCGCCCAGGTAAACGGCGTCTCATACGATCATGACGCCTATCCCGGCGTGCATCGCAAAAGCGGAAGCCCGAGAGACCAGCAGCCTCCTACGAAACGGCCAAAACCGACCCACAAGAGCACGGGCTCCGTTGCCTCTCTCAACCACGCTGCCGTCAACTCGAGTTCGCGCAAACGTGCCACTTCGGCAGTGCAGCCCATCCACAGCCCGGTCAAGTCGCCGACGACGCCTGTGCCCAACGGCTACTCTGGCGACTACTTCTCTCCCGAATTTTTGCAGCTATATCGACGGCCCGAATACGACCATATCGAAGCAAACTCGTACAGCGACCTTGGGATTGCCATGGTACTTCGGACGTGGGTTTCCGACCCGGAGGAGACAAAGAAGGCCAGTGGAGGCAAAACGCCCGGCGAAATATTCCATGGCTACAATGGGGATCTCAAGGATCTGGAGGAGACTGGACCGCAGCTGAAGGAAAATACCGGCACTGGTTCGCAACCTTCCGTCCAAGGAGCCTGTCCCACGTGGAAGTGGGTGACGACGGAAACCTTTGTCCATCAAGGCGGATTCGTCGGCGAACTCAAAGGGCAGATCGGTCGCAGAGAGGACTATTGCTCGAATCCAAACAACCGATGGCAAACACTTCGGCATCCGGAGCCTTTTGTTTTTTTCGTGCCTTTCCTCCCGCTTTATGTCGACACGAGACAGGAGGGCACATTGCTCAGATATGTGCGACGGAGTTGTCGGCCTAACATACGCTTGCAGACTATAATCACGAATGGATCCGACTACCATTTCTGTTTCATCGCAATGGAGGACATCCTGCCAGGCGAAGAGATAAGCATCGCGTGGGATATCGATAAGGAAGTTCACAAGGCCCTGGGGGCTTATGTGCAGAACGGCAACGCCCACGAACGTGGTTTGATAGAAGTCGAAGCGGTCTCCCAGTGGGTCGCGGGCGTCCTGTCCAACTTTGGTGGCTGTGCATGCAAACTTCCGCCGACGGAATGTTTCCTTGCTCGTGCTGATCTGCGGAATGGCATTTATCTCAGTCACCACGCGAAGCATGGACACAAAAAACCAAGAAAAAACGGCACGCATGTCTCACCTTCGAGTACCGGACATGCGACGAACAGCCGAGCAGGCAGCGAAGCCCGCATCCGCGACAGGCACTGCGAGCACCCAGAGGACGAGAACGGCGACAGCCGATCGGTCTCGGGCTCTTCTCGAAGCAAACCGACCAGCCGCGACATCACGCCCATGACGCACGTTTCAAACGACAACCCCGCCGGACTCGGGGTGGAGATGTCGGATCGCGAAAAGCGAAAACTGATGCAGCAAGAAAAGCTCTTTGAGCAACTCGAGCACGACGAACAACATGCGCAAAAGAAGAGAAAGAGGAACAGTGCCGGCTCGGCTCTCAACACACCAGGTGTGGCCACTTCCGTAAGCCGCCAAACCGCCGTTTCTGGTTAGTGGGAGAAGGAACTAATTTGCGTAAAGAAACAATTAGGCCACCCGGAATCCTCTTTTGCGCCGCCCGTTGTTCCGTCGAGAGCTCGTGCGGATTCTTCTCGCAGCGGGAATGCGAACGGCCGTCGATCGCACAAGCGAACCAGTGGGCGTTCTCGACGAGAGCCGCCCTCGGCCAAGAAGCCTCAGTACCAAGACTCGAGCATGCAGACCGAGCCCGACGACGAGTTTCCTTCGCTGGTGCCTGTTCGTGTGGAGCGACGCAAGCCGAAAGGCTCGTTCTTGCGAACGCTCTTGCAACGCACTCATGATGGCAGGATTGAGCGAGAGCGATCGGAGTCGGTCCTGCGCAACCAACCAGACGCGCGGACGCAGACTGACGGTGAGAAAATGGATGTCGACGAATCGGCTTCCTCGCCCAAGACTGTCTCATCTAAGCCCGCGACATCCCCCCGCGAGCCAACTCCAGTTTCCCCAGTCAATATTTCTGCGCCGAAACCGCCATCGACGCCGCTCAAAGCCGAAGACGATATCGAGATGCAAGATGCGCCAGCGGCCGCAGAGACTGAACCCCGAAAACTTGACACCCCCGTATCCCCCAGAACCATGTCCCCTCCTCGCTCTTCCACCGAAAGCAATAGGCAGACCTCACATCCTCCCCTTCCTCCACCTCCCCCACCGTGGTCATTGGGCCCTTCATCCACTCTTGCTGTGCCGTCTGCTTCTTCAACGGCTTCAACGGGAGAAAAATCCGTTTCTCCTGACCCAAACACCCCTTTTCCTCCCCCTCCAACCTTCCGAACTACAACCCCACCTCCTGCGGATGAAGCCTTCACCTCAAATTCTACCACCACTGGCGGCGTCATTGGATCGCCCTCTCTTCTCACCCACTCAGTTTCAGCATCAATATCCTCCCCCGAAAATCACATAGTACCGGTTGTTACGCCCAGTCCGGTTCAACGCAAAGCAAAAATGAGCCTTAGCGACTGGACCAAGAAAAGGAAAGCAAAGGAAAAGGCGGCAAGTGCAGAGCACGAAGTCCCTGGGGGCGCGGAGGAGACCCACAGGGTCGAAGAGAAGGAAAAAGAGCGGAGCGCAGACAGCGCCGCACCCCTTGCTTCTATTCCTGCGATTGCGGAAGTGGCGGCAGAAAGGCCTGTCAAGATGGATTCGCCGTTGCCGGCGCCAATGGCGCCCATGACGACGGAAATCACGACGGGTGAGAGGAGGGAGGACAATGTACCACCACCACATAGTAGCCAGGAGTCGGAGGGCGGCGGCAAGCCGTCAGACGACAGCGGCATCTGATAGTCCTCTTTATATCCCTAGCCACTTTTTTTGTTTCTTTCTCTTTTTTTTTTCCTCCCCAATTTCGCTCTCACTCACGCTTGATGCCCGCTTTTTTTTT